ACGGTGCCAAGATGTCAGAGCAGAACTAACTAAAGACTTACTTGAGGATTGTCCCTGGCACGCCATCGCTGCTTGTTGCCTAAACGGGATTAATAACTAATTACTTGCCGGAGTAGCCGTTGAACAGCTTTGATTCTGACATTGGAGAACTGGGGGAGTGAAGTGCGTGGTTGAGGTCCAAGGGGAACAGATAGTGTTTGCGGTCGACAGTTGTCAGTAACCATGCGGTGGAAAGCTGAGGCGACATCTACAGCGGTACAAGTAACAGTTGGTTCTACATGGGGACGGTCTCTAAAAGTAACTGTGTTTATGGTACGCCAAACTTACTTCTTGTTTCCAGCGTTGGCTGTACATTGTTCCTGGAAGTAGGTTTTGGTTTGGCTTGGTTTTTATTATTTCAGTTCGTTGCCTCAACAGTACTAAGATCAAGAGGGATGAACGAAAAGAGAAAATAAAACAGAGCAGAGAGGAAGATGCAACCCGCGATATTCATGTTAAAACAAAATGGCGTCACGATTTATTGAAAGTGGTATACCGTATAGTTGGTGGAACGAGTGTTCAAACCCATTTGAACTTCATACTGTTCGTCTTCTTTTTGACATGCTCCCTTTCCATCGTCCTTAGCTTTTATTTGTTGAGAGCTGTTTTGGCTTTCTCCTATACCTCTGGGGGATGCCAAGTGATGGTTTTGAGAGGCTGGTGATGGCTGTGAGCGAGAGTTTGCCGATCGGCGTCGTCCTCGCTATAGCGATGAAAATACTAGTTACTGCGCACCTGGCACATATCACAACACGTCGGAGCGTCCAGGAGCAAAGGAATCTTGGGTTTTCACTGGAATAAAGTTCCTCCAGCATCGTGTAGCCCACCGTCGGTGAATGGCGGTCCAGAAAGGTCGAACCTGGTCTTCTGCAGCATCTCGCAGTCCTGCGAGGCACACTGAATACGCCTGTCATGTATTCTACAAATAAAAATCACGAAGTTGTGGACTTTACAGTGATGAGTCTATCCTGTATGCTGCAAAAGACGCAGGAAATGTGACTGGTGTCTGTACACTCAGTGACTGGACGCCAACACCCCAGTCTTCTCCTGCAGGATCTGTTTGACATTGACATTATGCAGTAGGTCGGCATTGACCTGGTTTGGCAGCTATCGTTATAGTATCTGCCTGGTTGGATGTAGCAGGTTGGTGTTTGCTCGTCGTCCAGTCCGGAATTTTCTTGTAACTCACGGTGGAGTACGCGCAGGGTTTGTGATCATCCCTGTTCACTTCAATATTATCAAACACAACGTTCCCTTTGTCACTCATCTTATCCTGAGTACTGAATTTGCTGACAATATTGCACCATACTTGTCACAACCTACCGCCACTGCTGGCGGTGGCGACTGGTTCGTCAATGGCGGTGACCAGGCTGACTGACTAGCTTCGAGACAGCGGCCTCGTTGTCAATCCCGCGGCAGCCTAAAGGTTGATTTTATTCATCCAGCCTCAGCGCCATGTTGACGATGCCCTAGTGACTGTGTGTCATGGATTGCCTTGCCATCAGCGGTCATTGCCGTCCACCTTGATGCAGCCCTCAACAACTGGCTCAGCCCATGGGAGTCTCAAGTGGACAAAATTGTTGCCAAAGTAGCTCAGAAGATTGGTGCATCGTGGTGTAGGTGAGCACATAACTAGGACTTCCCAGCGTCTATTTGTCCAGGCTGCGATACTATGTGACATGCTGTACTGCACATTCTTTTCAGCACTGCAAGGCCGGCAGCTGGACCGACTGCAGGGGCCGCGCACATGCAGGCCGCCTGTTGCCAGTGCAGCATTCTGGAACGTTCCTTCCTTCTGAGATCCGTGGAATAATAACTTTCTTTGCTTCAAAGCAAGTTGCTTACCTTTCTGTTGTGCTCCCAGTGTCCTTACAACAATAACCTACAGCAATGTTTTATTTTCCTTTCCATTCCCCAACCAATGAATACTACGATGTCGATTCTATTTCTTCATACTTTGGTGTGTGCCCGCGCACGCACATGTGTGTGTATACCTCACTCGCCACTCGAAGTTCTGTTCCCCATCACTGGAACACTGCCTGTTCTTTCAGGACCTGCCATCATCTGCGGATGGGCATTCAATAATTGTATTGTGTGTGTGTTTCATTCAGAATCAGATCCGCTATCATTGCTATTAGAGAAAATCTGTGGGTTCACATCCAGTGCATTTTTAGATCTGCGTGCTTTTCTCGCCACGGGCGCATACATGGGACATTGTGTGTGTGTGCGTCTGTGTGTATGGGGATATTGTCTGTATCGGCTTTTGGTACTAATGTTCAGGTCTGTGCTTGCATGTGTGAACATGAAATTGTTCGGTTCTGTGCATGCTATTGCTATGTTGTATATTATTGTATGTATGTGTGCATTTCCACGAACAGTGTAGACGAGCGTGGAGAGTGCATTCATCCCTCATCAACCACTTCCCCTTGGGCTTACGAGAGTTTTTTCTGCGTACCTCTCTGATACTGTATTGATGCCGGCACCCGGGCTGTACCTCGATGTGTTCCTCTATCTGCAGTCGCCTTTAACCTTCGGTCAAGTTAACGTTTATTGTGCTCTATTTATCGTGCGAATCAAAATAAACAATAATAACACAAGTCGTGCTAGAGTGACGACATGTGCGTGTAGTAGGGTTGATGCGATGGGACGTTATAATTAGGTGGAACAGAACACACATTGGGCAGATTGATTGGGCATCATTGATTGTGCTCAGTCTAAACAGTGAACATAATAATTATCTCCAGTGACAGACTGTAGCGGCTAGCCTCCAATAGGTAGCTGGCACTAGTCGCTACTGCTTGTTTGACAGGTGCCGCCAGAACCCCTGTTGTGTCATGCTATAGATGCACATGCCCTGTTCTGGGGCATACTGAGGTACTTTGATTTTGTTGACTGCATGTAGACAGCATCCAATAGTAGTACTAGTAGACCTTGGCTCTTTGTAGGTCAACCACCATCGCATGGATCGATCGGTGACAATGCACTTGGAGGTTGGAATAGCCCGCGCTGAACAGATCTTGCCATGGCCCAGGGAGTGAACTCGCTTTCTCAACTATCCCGGTTTTAGTTAACCAGCATGAGTGGTGCAATTTGTCCATACCATGTTGCGAGCTCACAGTTGTTTGGGCAGGTTTTGAGCTACACCACGAAACAAAGCGAAATAACGGCGTGACTGTAGAGCAAGGAAGCGGCGAGACGGCACTTCCAGGACGAGACAGGCAGTAGAGATGTGTTCACAGCACGAGCAACCTCTCAGACCCTGCCGGTACTCCACAGTTACAAGAAAATGTCGGACTGGACGACGCGCCAATGCAAACCTGCTACATCCACCCAGGCAGATAGCTGCCAAACCAGGCCAATGTCGACCCACTGCATACCGGTATGTCAATGTCAAACAGATCCTGCAGGAGAAGACTGGGATGATATTGGCGTCCAGTGTACGGACACCAGTCACATTTCCTGCGTCTTTTGCAGCATACAGGATAGACTCATCACTGTAAAGTCAACTACTTCGTGATTTTTATTTGTAGAATACATGACAGGCGTATTCAGTGTGCCTCGCAGGACTGCGAGATGCTGCAGAAGACCAGTTTCGACCTTTCTGGACCGCCATTCACCGACGGTGGGCTACACGATGCTGGAGGAACTTTATTCCAGTGAAAACCCAAGATTCCTTTGCTCCTGGACGCTCCGACGTGTTGTGATATGTGCCAGGTGCGCAGTGACTAGTATTTTCATCGCTATAGCGAGGACGACGCCGATCGGCAAACTCTCGCTCACAGCCATCACCAGCCTCTCAAAACCATCACTTGGCATCCCCCAGAGGTATAGGAGAAAGCCAAAACAGCTCTCAACAAACAAAAGCTAAGGACGATGGAAAGAGAGCATGTCAAAAAGAAGACGAACAGTATGAAGTTCAAATGGGTTTGAACACTCGTTCCACCAACTATACCACTTTCAATAAATCGTGACGCCATTTTGTTTTAACACGCATACGGTCCACTGGCAGGAAAGAAAAACGGAGAGAAACGGAGAAGAATTGTGGACTGGGCGGATTCATGAACCATTAGTAGAGAGAAACGGAGAAGGTGTTGTGCCTCTGGCGGTATGCATTTCTAGCTTCCGTAGATCTACGGGCTTGCTTGAAGGCAGTGTGGTGTGCGGAATCGAGTTGCGAAAGCGAAAGACGAAACCCCCGCAGGCGCCAGTGCAGCAGCAGCAAGCCCATCGGACATCAACCATGCCATGGTCAACTGCATGCGCCTCGACTCATACAGACAATCATCAGACTTGCACTTAATTATTTAAATCTTTACTGTAGCGTGGTGCAGATCCTACACTGCCACTGGCTACAGGCTCAGCACAACAACTAACTAGTTACTTACTACTTCGTACTTGAACACGAGGTGATCGTCATGTTGACAAAGCCCATACTACGCACGAGGTGATCGTCATGTCGTCACAAAGCCCGTCTTCCCGCCCTAGCCCCTGCCCCTTGGCTACCTCACTTTATACCACTGTACCAGCAAAGTGCGAACGAAACTACAACTACTTACTTTCGCTACCATGTACCAGTAGTACTGGCAGTAGATCTACCAGTACGGCAGTAGACTGACTGTACTAGGATAGGATGGGGACGGACAGTGGGAATACCCCTATGATCATGATCTGTGTGAGTGACAGGAGCAAGAAGTAAGTTTCGATCCCCCTTCGGCGGGAATGGCCCTAGGCCCTTCGGCGGGAATCGCTGTCTCAGTGTCGGTCAACTCTCAGTCTCATGTAGCTTTGTAGGCGGGCCATGGCCAATGCGCTAAGCCTCACTACAAGTACAAGTCCGGAGTCTGGATATGGCGTGCCACGATCCGGCCATCTAGTCTTTTGCAAGTCGGTAGCGGTATGGCGCCCATGGCGCCCACGGCGCACGCGCAATGAGATTTCTGACCATTCTCCGTCGTTCCTATCTTGCCTTGGTCTTGGATCTGGCCGAAGGCAAATCCCAGTTTGCTCATTGTGAATACATGTGCAGTAGACCAATCGTTGTGCTGAAGTTCTTTCGTCCCTTCACGATCTCTTTGCGAGTGCCATCGTCGTTGATCAAAATAAGGTTTTCACTTTTCAGTTTGGTTCCGAGTTGTTCACACGGTGCACAAACTCGAAGCTCGGTGCTTTGTATCAGTATCACCCGGCGAAGATCTACAGCTGGTACGCCGCCCTGGCGACCTACGTTGTCCGGCCGGCAGAAACACTCCCATAGCCTGCATAGGATATTGGGTAAGTCACGAAAATGGGAGTTAACGTGGCCTCAATGCTTATCCAGCTTTGGCCAGGCGGTATCCTGCTACCATGCATTAGTACTAGTACTAGTACTAGTAAGTAGTAGTAGGACCTTGGTGTTTGCGTGGAAGACTGCATTGGCCGTACTAGTCCGTGTTACCTTGATAATAATGCCTTCTCCCACTGGGAGCATTCTGTTGCTAGTGGTGTAAAGTAACTTAGTTACGTAACGTCGTTGGTTTTAGTGTTAAAAAAACATAACAGCTTCATTCGATCGTGTGCATGTGCTCAGTAGAATCTTCATCGGGCAACCTCTTGTTTTCGTATTGGTTCTACTGTTGAATCAAAATAATTTACTTTGTGAATGTCGACTCCTAGTATCTCTTGTGCATGCTGCTAGCCAAAGCAAAGGTTACGTTCCCTTGCTGTGAGTGTGAGTGTGATCGCTTCTGAGTGTACTACTAGTACTAGCAGTAGCATGTCCATAAACCAGATGCAGAGTCGCTGCTGGATCAGTGGAAGGCCAAAATAATGATTGTACTGGAGCAATATTCCTCTTTTTTATGTACAGTCTTGGTAATTACCGCGAATCCGTTTCGGCATGCTTTCCGCAAAGAAGTACAATTAATAATTATGTTCCATGTATACCAGCGCAGTAGTCCGATTTGCGTGAAGGTGCGACTCGTACTATACTGTACCGAGCGACTAAGCTGCAAGTTTGCATTTGTTGTAGCACTCGTCCGAAACACTTGGCTTTCCCTCAGCCAGTGCAGGGTCGTAGAAGGATTTCACCCATTCATTATTGAAGTATTAGTTTAGTTTCCTTCACCCCCCGGAGGACTCTCATTTGTTGAAGTTTCCTTCATACAGAAACCCGATGAGCCCTGACTCGGAGTAGACGAGTGAGATATCTGCAGGGCACTCTCACAACCCATCGAAACCCGAAAGCCAGCTCCCGAACAGAGGTACCGGTGCTGGAGATCTGCAACAGTTACTACTGCGAGTACCGCTGCGAGTCATCGTCGTAACTGTCCGGGCTCGTGGTCCTACATCATCATCATCGGCACCAAAACCAGGTTCAACAGTCGTGTAGATTAAATTTTACTCTTGTTCTTTGTACCGGTACGCGTTATGACCCGTACCTTGGGGACCACGGAGTTTGTCCACATCGTGGTCCGGACCGTCGAAGCTGTAACTGCTGAAGGAAGAAATCGATCCGCGCGACCCAAACTGCCACAAATTGCTGTCGCGGCTAATCTCGAATTTATTTTCACGATATCCAAAGCCTCTTTTACGGGCGAACAAAACAACACATAGATATGTCAAAGAAAAAAGGCCAAACCCTGCCCTGCCAGTTATGAAGGCTACGGGGTCGCCATGGCAAAAAAAAATGCGCACGTTCGGGCTCTCCGCCTTCTCCATGAAAGAATAAGGGGCAATTAATTAGTATGGAGGTGAAAAGCTCGCCAAGCGGCTGGAGACACACATGTACATGTCTTTAGTGCAACGGTCCTGCAAGGAAACACGTGCCTCGGCTACTACCACAGACGCGGGTCCCTGGTGACACGGTGTGCGGATGAGGATCTTGCCCCACGAAGGCACATCACGCTAGCTCGGACTAATGCAAAACTTAGCTTGCAGCGAAGCCATGCCGTCGTGACGGCTAATCTCGGATCCTGTACCGCTCACCGTACATGACACCGCCACGTGGAGGTTCAAAAATGAAACTCTGGCATGCCGGATTACCTGCCACTCCTGCGTTGACCCATGTGGCAAAAGTTCGACTTCGTGAGTGGGGAAACAAAACAAAGTATCGACGCGCTTGTAGGCTGAGTGAGGGTACTACGGATCTAAAAACAACATGATTGTAGTTTCGTGGCAGACGGAATCACGTCCAACAGCAAGCAACGCCGGGTTCCAGTCTTCGCTCTCTGCTTGAGCACAACTTCGAAGTAAGAAGGTGGGTAGCGGTGTATGAACATGATTGTAGAACTATTCAGTTCAAGTGTGAGCAGGCCAGTTCAGCTAGCGGAGATTGCCCCTGTATTGTGATTATCTGACTGGTTTGGGAATACAGTTATGCATATCAGCAAGAGTCCGTAAATAAGAGTACACAACTCCGGTGGAGGTGAGTAGATCAGACCCACCACAAAGTAGTCAAAGACCGAAATCCCATTAACTGCATCCATGTTACCCTCGCGCCAGGCCACGAGTTCCCAATTAACTGTGGGTTGCAGCACGGCTGGAAAAATTCCTTCCGCTTCTAAGCAGGACTTGAACCTGGTACCCTCTGTTTCCCAATCATGGGAAAATGACATGGAATAATGCTGGCACTACTTGAAGTTCACCACGAAGATCAAGAACGTGATCAAGGACTTTCTGCCTTTCTAGTAGCAGAGACAGAAAGTAAGACACGGGTCGACATAAACACATGCACACAATTCATGTAGAAATGAAAACGTGAAACAGCCAAATTCAACTCATCCATCGCTTCCCCACAGTTCGTACAACAATACTCATTATTAATTTTATTTATGGATGCCCCTTAGGCCAAGTAAAAAAAAAAGCTAGATGATCGTCCCCGTCCGCCCCAGTTTTTGTCAGCGCCCCAAGAAATATTTTATTTTTTAAATCGTGAGTTTTTGCCGAAATCGTTGGTTTTTTACCGATCGCGGATGCAGGAAACATGTGCACGCGTTTTCCGTGACGAACTTACTTTGTCAAAAGTAAATTGTTGGTAGTTGCTTCGCGATGTCGAAGTTCTTGACTGTGTTCCAGCTTGACGCAGATCTGTAGAGTGAGTTGTTGTCCTCTGTTTCGAATCATCTGGTGCTGTCGAAAAGAAAAAAAAAGAAAAAAGAGAAAAAAACCTTGATGTTGTTGTGTACACTGTGTGCATGAGAGGGTAAAAAGTAAAAAAATAAAAATAAAATCCTCCCGCCCTCCCCGATTTTTCCAAAAAAAAGGACGATCATCTAGTAATTTTTTTTACTCGGCCTTATCTAGTGGAAGTACGGCCTGCACGGCCTCTTTTCTAACCTTGACCTAAAACTTGACCCTAAACTAACACCCGGTAAACCCTAGCGGCAGATGCCGCGCCTAACGGTGATATTAAAGAAAATTAACAAAATTCATCGACACGAGAACAAAAACATGATCCTAAGGTCACATTCAGTCATTGCCACCTATATCTCACAGCTATTTTTCACACGTCGCGCAAGCGCACTGTAAAGGGCGTGCCAGTGAGGGAAGCTAGGAAGTGCGAGAATAATATCTTTCTGAACCGAAGAACGTCTCTGTGGTAGAATTTAGTGCAGCGATGTGCTTTTCTGCTGAATTTGTCTTATGGCGCGAGATAATGCTGTTTTTTGGCAGCAGGATTCTGTTATGAAATTGCTACATTTGGTCTCTATGGCATCATTGTTTTATTCGTACCTGTGCAGTGCTTTGGGAATGGGTGTGTAGCCCTAAAATACTTTCTATGTGTAGTTTCATTTCGAGTATCTCCCTTGCTCAGTATCGCTGCCTAGTCCGGCGTGAAAGTTTCAGAACATAATAGTCCTTAGTGTGCCAAGGTTAATGAGCTTCATCTGAGAGCACTCAAAGACAATGCTTGCAGGGCTGTTGATTGGCTGTCCTTATGGCTATAAGCACATGACTAGCCACAGCATAATATCGTGACGAGACGACCGACGTTATTATCTGTACTTGCTTGGTGGAGCAGCATCAAAGGAAGTGAACGGGTCAGCTGCACAGTTTTTGAATTGGGTCCGCAGCTGGAGACCAGCTTGGCACAAAATAAGAAAGTAAGAAATGCATTACTGTATGTGCTGTTTGGTTTGGTTGTGTCGTGTATATGCAGATTGCAACAAGTTCTGCTTCCACGGTATATGACGGTTCAGAGTGCAGCACATCATTAATATGGATGTGGACAGTCCTGGCGCTGATAACGCATCACGGGCTGTTCGACCAAATAATGATCTTGATGCAGCTGCTCAGCAGCAGCAGCAGCAGCAGCAACCCATCACTGATGATCCATCCACCATATGTGTAGTTGAGCCATCGTCAACTCAACCAGTAAGTAGTCGTGTGCGCACACTATTGCTTCCTTGTATGTCTTGTACTGGTGACAACGCCAGATCCAGGTTGTTGTAACTTACACTTAGTTACTGCATGCTTGTGGCACACGACAGTCACAAGCAACACGAGGAGTAATTATTGTTGGTAGTTATCATTATGAAGGTAAGCAAGAGAATGGCTCGAGCATGCCCAGAGCAACCAGGTAAGGGCCAGCAGCCATGGTGAGAGAATACTGTAGACATGCGCGAATGGAGATAATATCGTACGAAGAGGTAGCGAGAGAGCAGCATGCAGCGACGGCATGTAAATGCAGTCTATAACAGTTGTCAAACGCATGCCGAAGCAACCAACCGGAGCGACCACTTGCTGGTCACTCCGAGACAAAAATAAATGAGCAAGCTTCATTCGGTTCAGCACTCTCCACAACGAACGACTTCGGGTTGCATTCCGCCTGTAGTTACTCCGGTACACGCATGTGTAGCATGTGGCGCGTTGTACTTGAAGTACAAGAGACATGATCATGTGAGAGTACAGTTTGTTGCGGGAGAGGTGCAACACCACTCTCGCTAAATCTTGTCGCAACAGCGGATCCGCCACTGCATGTGGGACCGGGCCCTAATAAGTTCAACGCGATGGAAGAAGTTTTACATGTCTGTGTTCTTGTTTGAATGAGCATTTTTAACTTTCTATAACAGCGGTTATCTGAAAAAGTAAAGCACCGCGCTCAAGACCCCTGAGGAAGGGGAAGCTAAGTGAAGACGAGCCTCCCAAATTAGTTAGGGAGGGAGGAGAGGGGGGGGGGGGTCTCTGCAATAATGTACACGAGTGGCGGTTTTGCTAGGCTGCATAGACCAGTGCAATGGTGGAAGCCCTTGCAAAGAATTCACAACTCAAATAAAGAATTATCGATCGCGCCTGGTGGAAATTATTTGGTTTGATAAGAAGGTAGAAGGGCTTTTTCTAGCAGTACAGTCAGACCTCGCTTAACCGCACACATCTGTTTTCCACAAAAACATCCGGATAGGCGAGGTAACCGGATAACTGAACACACATACTGTATATGCATGTGGCATGTCAAAAGCAGTGACATCATACATACATGTACATGTAGACGGGTCCTATGCAGTACAACTAGCGTGCCCAGTATGTAAAACAAGCGAGAAAAATGACAAGTGCATGCAACTGAGTGCTGTCCGCACACACCCAGCAGGTCAAGGACCTCATTTGCTTGTACAACTCATTGATACTAGCTTCTGATGGCGCTAGCCAGCCACATGCAACCGGATACGACGAAGCATTTTGTACACATTTTAACCAGTTTGTACACAAAATCATGCACCGGTATGCGGATCGCGAGGTCCGGTTATGTTGTATGCATAACATATGCTGCACATCGGTAACCAGCGATTTTCTTCCGGATGGCGAGGGATACGGATAAACGAGGACCGGATAAGCGAGGTCTGACTGTAGTGAATTTCCTGGAGTTCTTGAGGCCAGACAAGTACATGATTGTACTCCTCAAAGCTGAGGACCAGTTGTGTTGGCATCAACATAGCAACTATCGTTGGAGACAACTTAAACCAGAGCTGTGACAACCTGCCGAAAAAAGCCTACAGAGGTGACAAGGAGCAGAGGTTTATATTGGCATCAAAGATTGTGATTTTCAACATGTCACTACTGCCACAGCAGCTTTCAATGCAGGGACACGCACTGATCTTCCAGATATCGGTTTTAGTTGCGAATGTCTGACCTTCGATGTGAATAGGAAGAGTTTGTGCTCAAAGGGCGGTCGTCATGCGCACCTTATTTGTTGCCAACACTGCTGTAAGCATGGCATATCACTATCTTAAGGAGCCATGAAGGTTATTGGCCCCTCATTGCTCCCCAGCCTGGCAATCCGAAGGCATGTTTACGGGCTGTGCTACCTGTATAAGCTGCAATGCATACCAGGTCCAGCTCTGCTTACCAACATGGTACCTCCCCCAGCAAGAGTTAACGCTGCACCCCGGACGCGCCGGCAACGCCAGTCCCTCGGGGGCCACTCTTTCCAACTCGCAACTCCTCTGCCAGCCTCCAGTCCAGAGTTCATCCGCCGCTCCTTCCCATACTTTGTCCTGGAGAGCTGGAACACACTGCCTGCCCCAATCCTCGCCGAACGCCCAACTCTCAAGAAATTGCCGACATTCAAGACCAAGGCCTACCATCACCTCCGCCAGACCAATTGGCTATGGGCCACTGAAGTCCACCAGCACTGAGAATAACCGGTTGTCTCTATTATTATCATTTTCTGTCTCTCTCTCTCTCTCTCTCTCTCTCTCTCTCTCTCTCTCTCTCTCTCTCTCTCTCTCTCTCTCTCTCTCTCACTCTGCCTCTCCTGGGAAGCTCCTCATGCTCATTCTCCCTTTCTCTGTCCATTTCCCCTTCCTGATGCCTAGACCAACTGTTGAACCCGAGACCACTAGGTCGGGGGAGGTTGACCTACCTCATCGGCACGCATGCCACGCTCCTCTGTGTTGTCAAAGTTCGCTTGTCCACTTTTGTCTACCTCCCCTTTTATGTTGCTGGCCAGTGCTTTGTAGTAAAAAAAAAAAAAAAAAAAAAAAAAGGAGAGCATCCTCAACCCAGTCATCATGTGTATGAAGCCATTGCTGATAGCTCGTAAAATGCACGATAACACATTTTGTGTACTTGGTCCGACTTATTAAAATCATAGCCAGCAATCGCATGTCACCACGTACTTTGAAAATCAACATAGTTTTTCGAATCGACCTTTTTTTCCGGATCACTTTTCAACGAGGACGAAGCAAAGTCGGCCGAACGAAGCCTAGAGGAAGAAAATCACCCTCTCCACTTCACCATCACGATACTGACATCGATACGAGATGAAACAACTAAAAAATCCACAAGAAAACTGTACGGCCATCATCGCGCTGACTTTGGTCTGACTTTGGTCTGAGAATTTCTATCACGATCAAAAATGTACGAGGAGCACTCAAAAATAAGCCACAGACGTACCTTTATCGCTCTCTACTCCTTTTTCAAGGCACAAAAATCGACTCTCCACTTTCAAACCAGGAAGCAGACATACCAGTGGTCCTTTTCAGCTGCTCCACGAGCGCAGGAAATGTTCACCAAGGGGCGCAGAGCAGCATCCATTCCAGAAAAAGAGCTAAAATACGAGTGAGACTGCATGACTGAGTACATGAGTACATGAATGAGTACATGCAGAAAATAGTCAATTTCAGCGTTTCTGCTCCAAACAGCAACTAGCTTCGACTAGAAACAAAGATTACACCAAAGGATCAAACAACAACCATTTTCTGCAGTTTTTTTGCAGATGGCTTCCTTGTGCTTGGCCCAGCACGTCAAAAATCACACCTCGAAGGAGTACAAAAATTACAACTCTCAGATGTCCTCGATTGCTGGCCATGGTGCTCTTCACTTCAAAACTCAAGCATTTGTACAAGTGAGCATCAGAACTAAAAAATCAACCAAGAGACGTTAGATAGATGACTACTGTATCGTCTCTTGGCCTGACCTTCTAGTTTTCATCGCTGCTGGTGTCCCTGGGCGCATCTGCAAGTGCGTCACCCTGCAAAACATCAACAGTTTTTTGTCTCCTTCAAGGTACGCTGCGCTTCCTTGATTTTTTCAATCAATAGGCCTGATTTTGACGATCGCCTTTGCCTCTTCCTCGTGCAGTGCAACTGCCAGAATGGTAGCTGTAGGAGGTTTCAACTGACGTTCCCACGATACCTTCAAATGAGGCGAACAGGTAGACCACCACGCACCAAAAAATCACTTCTCATCACCGTGTGTTCCGCGTACTGACAGTCTGTGTCATACAGTCCGACCATGCGGGCTCATCGCTGTTGTACAAATCTACGGGCCACTACACCATGTACACTGTCACTGGAGATGAGACAGAGGTTTCGCATAGGAATGATGTAACCATGACGCCTCGCGGCTCCGAGAACTCCGCACCATCCACGCACCGTATCCGCAAAATACTCTTTGTTTGTTTCAGTTTTCCAGCCAGTTTCTCGCTTGAGAGGCAACTCCAGGGGTGGTTGTTTATTTCGACCACCTTCTCGGCGATCTCTTCAGCAATCTTGATTCGTGGGTTGCCACATCGTGGACGACTGCGAGAGACATCAGTAAACTGGACGACTCGATGCTTGTGCTGCTGCTGCACGAGTTTCTGGATGATGTGTTTGCTGAAATTCTGCCCAGGAAACAGCGACTGCAGCGATTTCAAGCCGCCAGGAGGGAATCAAGAACGATCGCCCAGGAGTTTCTGGTACTCTGTGACAAGTCTCCATTGCAGTGGGGTCATGATATCAGCACTAAGCCTTCTCAGTGTTGCGCGTGAAGCAACAGGAGTCCTCTGACGACAAAATTTGCACGCGAAATACCATACTGGCCAACCCTCTCGTTTTTCCCGGGAAAATCCCGGAAAATCAACACTCCTCCCGGGGTCCCGGGGATTTCAAGCAAACTCCCGGAAAAACCAAAGTTTTGTCTGATACAGGATTTTCCTGAAAACTCCATGGTTTCTCCCGAATGTCCCGGTTTTTGAAGTTTTTTCAAAGGTATGTACGGTGCTCATTCGCACTTCGAACTGTGCACAGCACTTTGAAGACCTGACCATGCAAGATCTGCACTGACAAAGTGACAGGCGGGCGCCGACTGATCAAACTGCACTACAGCCTAGTACAGGGTCGATCTGTGCTGTACGCACAGCTGCAGAGTCGAACGTTTTTTTGGCGGGAAAAGCTCTTTTTCACTTGTTTTTGTGCCATCCAGGGATTTTGAGAGAAATCCAGGGATTCTGCATGTCTTGTCAAGGGATTGAGATTGTGGTGGTTGGTCAGTATGAAATACACGAGTCGCCAAGGAGTTTGAGGCGCTGCCTCCTTTGGAGTTTGAGCCATTCCTTCCTCAATATCACAAATCGATGACTGAAGGACACTGTTAGGTAGCTGGGAAGTTTATTCCGTCCTGGGATTATTTGAATTTGTTTGGTAGGCTTCGGACACGCATTGCGCGAAATCGCGCATCTATGAGCGACATCCACATAAACTGCTGAGACCATGGTTGTGTACTCGAATCTCATTCTGAGCACCCTTTTTTCTTCCTTTTTTCAGCCGTTTTTTTTGCAAAAAGTCCTCGAGCTCGATTTTTTTTGATCGATCGTTCTTCAAGGAAAGACGAGTGGACAATCGATCAACAGGGCCGAGGACGAATGCGTCTGGTTGGAGTTCTTGCGTGGCACAGGATGACCAGACACACATATAGATACATTGCGACGATCTAATCTGCACAGTGTTTCCTAATACCGCACGCACGACGGTAAGTACAATTCATGTGATTTCAAATTGTTTGTGATCTACAACGTCGCGAGCAGGACGGAAATACAGCAACAGCACGACAACCGTTATACCAGGCAGTAACCAACAGTCACCTCCGTCACATTCTCCAGATCAGAAGGCAAGTGAGGCAGTGAACATGAAGAAATAAACTAGTAAAGAATGAAAAGTGAATAATTCAAAAATCTCAGAAATGTTGAACGTAAAAAACACTGAGAACAAGAAAAGTGACTTACTTCGATGGCAAAAGACAAAGCGAATGTTCCTCGTATGGACCTGGCTCTTGCGGAATCAGCCACACTGTGGAACCATGTGTTTGATTCCACAAGGGATGGCTACCTGCTCCTCACCAACCAGCCTCCACGACGGTGGTAAAGTCGCCAAAAATACGAAAGTTGAACATTTTGTGCATGCATGCAATAGAAAATTTGTGCTGAGTATGTCGAGTGGCCATTCGCACAGGACAAAGCCGTTGCGCAAGCTGTGACCCTGAAATTTCGTCCATTGGTAGCGAGGGTAACCCTGAGCTGGAAAGTGTAAGGGATGGCATGCTACACTCCCCCGCATACGCTTGACAGCACGATTTGAGGCGTGGAGTAGTAATATACCAGTATCTTACTACCCCCTGATACCTGATGCATGGACGTCGTCATCTTCATCCCGCAGATCGAAAATGTACAGGTGTCGTGTGATTTCGCGCAATGGAATAGCACATTTTAATAAGTCGGACCAAGTAGAAGTGGACAAGCGGCCCAGCGGATTCACACTTACACCCGTGCAAACCTGGCATGTGTCTGTGTACTCGAGCATACTCAAGTACTTTTGCTGGTTTTTACATGCTCACAAAGCACAAATGTGGGCACATGGCTCACACACAAGTGTAAAAAAATACTCGCGCTTTGGCCACACGAGTATATCCCTATGGATGCAGCACGATGCACGTGAGGTTGCACGTCATGTGAATCGCCTATAATGAAGTGACAGTTTTTGCGTGCTGGAGGAAGCATTTCATTTTGATGGTTGTATGTAAGGCTCATCAGAAGGAATTTAAAAAAAAAGACTCCACGGCAGGTGTATTCGTAGAATAATAGTGTGGTAAAACACACCTGGCTAAACATGCTTTCCAACACACACTCTCTCTAACTTCAACGTTGCACTCTCTGGCTATGAGTACTCCTTCTCTCACCACCGCCTGGTGCTTAGTCTTTGCAGCTAAGAGAGAATGGGTACTGGTATGTGTGACCGGGGGCATGTGTGTATTTACCACCAATTTACTAGGTGGGTCTTTACCACCATTATTGTATATAAGACTGTCACTTTCTTGACAATCTATGTATCTTCAAAACGATCCTTGTCCCAGCGAGTGCTTCCATCTGCACTTGTTCAATACATGGCTTCTAAGTAAAGACTGGAACAACGATTCCAACTCAAGTCAAATGCCGCTTGAATGCTTGGAGATGTTGTGCTCTCACTTCCCAATTCTTTTACGATAAACTGCACGACTGTCCTCTCACTGTTTGAACAGGTGGACAGCAATGGTACAGTGACTGCGGTGCATCTGAATGAGAGTGGTTCACAGCAAAGTCATGCAAACCTGGACAGTCAAACATCTGGTAAGTATCTTGCTAGCAATGAAATTGTACACAATGTAGGATGATTTTAACTAATGGGTACACGCTATGTTGGACAGCCTGGAACCTTTCTGCGTTTCTTTTTTATTATGCTATTATCGTGCTATCCGCATTTCGGATATTGTTGAAGAATCTTCACAGGCCCAGGTTCCCCACGTGTCAATACACTAGAACACTGCCTAATGCTGGATAACTGATTCGTTTAATTAAAACAGAGAGATTCCAGGCTGTCCAATACATTGCTCAATACCGAAAGGCAGAGCTAGTTCCAACAAGAATAAGAGGATGAAAACGTGTTTTTGCTTCGAGTTTCACCCACTAAGCGATCATCAGAAAACTGTTTTCTGATGATCGCTCAGTACGTGAAACTCGGAGTAAAAACACTTTTTTCATGCTCTTATTCTTGTTGCAATTGATTCTTTTGTAGAGACATTATGACGAAAAGAACAGGAGCACTGCCAAGAATGGATGCAAAAGACATGAGGTGCATCCAGTCAGTCCAAGACTGATCCTCTTGGGCATACGCATTACAGCAACGTGCCATGGATGGATGCATGCAGCACGAAAAAACAGGAGCAACTGTCTGCATTGCGTAATCTGGAAGACTACACTGCAGTATCTTTGGCTGCATAGCCTGTCAGTGTGCTCGGTAATACATTCTTATCCCAGTCGGTTGCACCGTTGGTGCTACCCGTTTCTGACAAACTGCTCAATTCACGAAATCGAGAGCCTTCTCTCGCATTGTTTGATCAAGAATTGCTCCACGACTCGTGTTTTTATATGCACCTTGCGTGTAATACTAAATATATTTATGATGGTGGGATCCAAATTATATTGGCAGTCTTTAAAAACCATGTGAAGAAGAGGTTGGTGCGACTTCGGCGATACTTGGGGAATTGTGTGTTGCTCCATACATGGGAGCTCGCGGTTTTCCTGCCGACTTGAATTCTCACTTGACTGGCTCACGACTCCCATCCAGAGCGCACGAGAAGTCCATCGAACCGTCCACTCGGCAAACCTGCAAGAAAGCACCACTCACTCCTTAATACACAGTGTTTCGGGGAATGCACCCTTCATCAGTTGAGCTTGAGTAGGCTGAGCAAGATTGAGCCCAAGGGCAAAGAGCACCACTTAGATAGTGCTCTCCAGGCACAAACATCACCAGGGAAACAAACTTACAGAGATGCTCCGTTTCCAGCGCGACAAACACCTCGTGAACACCAGATAGCAGCGTGAGTCAGTGTCGCTCATGGAGGTGCTGAACAAACGCTGAGGACCGTTGGCCATTCACGATGTTGTTGCCTCCAAACCATCTAATTAAACCGCCTATGCATATTCCTATGTCAGTCATTGTATTAGGGAGGTTTCGTTCTACGTAATTTAATACGTATGAAAATAACATAGGAACTGCATGTAATTTTCACACGTAAAAATCCAAGCTGTTGGGTTTCGCTCTACGTGATTTCTCCACGACTAGTCGACTGCTAAGCGTGCCTTGTTGCGTTGGGAATGCTTCGGCAGCATGCGCCTACCGCATGCACCACAAATCTACACAATGTTCTCCATTTTGTTTTCCACGTGCTGTGGACCTTGTGTTTCGCTTGAACGATTTTTTACGAGATAGACACAAACCATCATGGTGCAAACGCCAGCAAGAGAAAGCAGGGCGGCACATTACGATGGCAGATGAAGCAGAGGAGGCAGGGCAGAAGCGGCTAAACCGACCGAGGGTCGCGGTATCAACACCGCTCATGCGCGCCAAACAAAAAAAGCCAACGTTGCCATGGATAACTCCGGAAAATGCGAAACATATTTCAAAAAGTCCTTAGTTTTCCACGGAAATCCGTAGAGAGATTTACGCATGAAAGTTGCCCTCGCTCCCTGGCGCGTACGACGTACGGATTTTCATATGTAATTACGTAGAGCGAAACCTCCCTATTGTTTGCAGGGGCGTAGCACCCGCTACGACTGGTACGACCATGGCCGTACCACTTTTCGAAAAGTGTGGTCCGTCCGGAACGTGCAAAACCGTAATAAAAAAATCAGGATCCATCGCGATGCATATGCGCATCAGACTTTGACCTTTTTCTAGACTCGTACTCGTAGATCTGCCATGCATATGTGCATGTCCATGCACGTCTCTTCTGCCCGTGAAATAATTCTATGACTTATAAACTGTGCCAGAAGTTCCCAGAACGCAGGATTTTGTGTCTTTTTTACAAAATTTTCCCGGGGGAGGTCCCGCGGACCCCCCTCCAAAACGGCCTTCGGCCGCGCCGACCTTTGGTCGTACCACTTCCAAAACCCCTCCTACGCCGCTGGTTTGCATATACTGAATGGATATTTATGACATCCTGACATTGTGTCATTGTGTTCTTTGTGTTTACATGTGTGTGTTCAAATTTGCAGAACTTTCTCCAACTCTTCAACCAACTGGAACTCCAAGTCTGGTTGCAACCCGTGGGTATGTCGATAATAATGGCGACGCCATGGAAGGCATGACTGCAACAGTACACACCAAAGCAAACACCAATGAAAGTGCTGGGCATTGTCCAAACCAGCCTGGTGGCGATGATATACCAATGGACACCAGTAATGGTATGGAACACCATGGAAATGTTCAAGGAAACGCTCAGGCAATGTCAATGTCAAATGTGGATCAAAGCATGCCAGCTGAGAGTGTGACAAACATGCCTGCGCCAAGTGCGCATTATCAGCACCCACCAAGTGTTTTGCAGCAGCTACCACCACAGCAGCAGCAACAAGCGGAGCTGAAACAACAACAACAGCAGCAGCAGCAGCAGCAGCAACAACAACAACAACAACAACAACAGCAACAGCAGCAGCAACAACAGCAACAGCAGCAGCAACAACAGCAGCAGCAGCAACAACAACAACAACAACAATCGCCACAGCAGCAGCAGCAGCAACAACTACCAGTACAGCAACCACAACAATCACCTCAACAACAACTAACGTCACAGCAGCAGCAACTACCACCACAACAGCAGCAACTACTGCAACCACAGCAGCAACTACCGCAATTACCTCAACAGCAACGAGAACCACCGCCACCACGACGGCAGCAGCAGCAACTGGAACGACCACCACCACAGCAGCAGCCACAACTGTCACCACCACAACAACAGCAATCATCTTTGCAGCATCAGTACCAACAGCAAATGCCATACCCAACACATCCGCAGCAACATCCACCGCTGCAACAATGGCCGCAACAACACCGCCAAGGTATGCAGTCACAGGCTCACACGAATCAACCGCAACATAATCAGCATCAGCAGCAACAACAGCCCCTGCAACAGCAACCACACGCACCGCCTCAGCAGAAGCAGCAGCAACCACCACCACAGTTACCGCCACAGCAGCAGACCCAGCAACAACTTGCAAATGTGTATGGACAGGCAACGCTGCAGCAAGAGAATCAGCAGTCAGCTTTGAATGGCCATGCTTTTGCCTCAGGTCAAACACCTCATCCGTTTCAGCATAGCCTGAACCAAGGCATGCACACAGCACAGCCTGGCATAATGTCACAGCAGTACACAGCAGTGATCCCTTCAGAGCACACGGCACCACACTACGGTCAAGATTCCGAAGGAAGCCACTATGCTTCACCGTTAAGCTTGTCTGGTAGCAGTATGAGCAGTCTTCACTCTGCTGCATCACTAGCCTCAGCATCACTGGCATCATTACCGGTGGCTCCGTTCCAAGATAGCCAGCAATGGCAGCAGCACTCATCCATGTTCAGTGCAGCACCAACGAGCGGCATGAGCGCTGCTCAGCAGCAGCAGCAGTTTAGCCAGTTCTTACAGTGGCAGCAGCAACAGTCGCTCTCTTCTACCTCTATGCCGCTTATATCCCATACGAAGGACCAACAACCCTTCCAGGGTCAAAGTCAATTTTCACAACCGTCCCATGAGAAGCAGGTCCCTGCCTTGGGACAACAACTGCCCCAGAGCTCCAATGGACAGTTTCCTCTGTCAAGCGCTCCAAAAACAATGACCGGTGCTGTTCAGTATCAACATGCCCCTCGTCCTACACCGGCAGGTAGCAGCGCTGCTTCTGCAGGACTACAAGAGTGTGATCAGTGTGAACAGACGCCGGCAGTGAGTAAATGCGATGATTGCGACATGGTGTACTGTAGTGAGTGCTGGGATGATGTCCACAGCATCGGCAAGCTTGCCACCCATCAGAAACTGCCTCTTCCGAAAATCGTCAAATGCTGCAAATGTACGACGGCTGACGCGACACTGCACTGCCACAATTGTGATGCTGACTTCTGCTCAGCATGTGACATTGCCATGCACAGCAAGGGCCGACTTAAGACGCACAGCCGAGTGTGCCTAATAGCAGAAGATATCTCTCAAGAAGCACCTCCAAGAAAGTTTACATGTCGCCCGTGTGACAAGTGCTCGAGTTCCTATGCGGATGTGCACTGTGCCGATTGCTCACTTCATTACTGCCAAGCATGTGACACTGGAATGCATAGCAAAGGCAAGCGCCAACAGCATGTACGAGTGGCAACACGTCCATCAGCAATGCCTGATACTGTTAAAGCCACTGAGCCCCAGCCAAGTACGGCCAATGTCACTTCCAGGCAACAGCAAGATACCACACAACCATGCAGCACCCCCAGCCCACCACCAGCTGGTGTCCCCGCTGCATCAGAGCAAAGTGGTGGGTCACAGGTATCAGCCCCACGCAGAACTACAGCATGTGTGAAGAGCAGCAATGCGGATACTTGTGCCAGGCATCCAGGAACCATCTCTGCTGGAAATCAGCAGCAGAACACTACTCCGGCAGAGATCACAAGTTCATCAGCGGTGCAAACATCCGCACAATCACCCCTCACTGCTGTCAAAGCCATCGGCCCTGCCGCACCGCATCAGTTAGCTGTTGCTGGAAGTGTTGCATCCCCTCCAACGGCTAATGCTACAGCCTCGTTCACAGTGCTACCATTGCTGAATGTGCATTGCGACACACAGGATACGGGCACACTCATGCAGAAAGTGCTGGTATCAGATCAAGGCGTGTATGAAGTTGCCAGGCTCAGCAGCAGTAGTAGCAGCAGCAGTAATGCAAGCAGCAGCAATGCCATCAATGACGGCAGTGGCAATAGTAGAAGAAACAGCCATGGAATGGAAAGGCAACTCTCTCGCGACTCCCAGCACTCGCTAGCAGTGCTGAAGCATGAGCACCTGCGCAAGGACACGGTGATGACAGTGGGTCTTTATGGCAACAAGGGAAGAATTGCAGCTTGGCTTCGGGAGCGCCAACTTGTGGATGCACGATCACTGCGCAAGCTGATGGATGACACTGACCCAGGCATCTATTGTCTCAGCAATGGTGGTAGTGTCCAGTATCTGCTGCTCCGTCCCACGGATAATGCATTCACGGAAATGTCCCGAAAGAACATCAGCTGCAACATGGTCCGCTATCTTCTCGAGCTCTGTGATGAGATCTTGGTCTTTTTTGCTGGGAGTGAACAGTCACTGTTCGACCACTTCCCTTTTGGCAGCCAGCGTGTGGAGAAGCGAACGCAGAAGCTAGTTGTCAGCTTCCAGAAGGAATCGGATGAAGACATCATCTTGAAAGACGGCTTCTGTGTTGAGCTGAAGCAAGGCCCGCTGCGGTCGTCAGCTGAGGTGGTGCTATGTCAGAGCACACATGTACGCGCTGTCCATGTGGGGCAGTCTGTGGCACAGGTTGTTGCTTTTCTGCCACTTCGCAATCATTTCCTACTGCTTGACGCTGCTGCTGAGTTTCTCCGCGAAAAGATGATCTGCTTTCAAGTTTCATTTGCTGGGTGCATCTCTGACGAGAACATACTTGAGCTATGCCGTGCAGCTGTGCCTGAACTCTTACCGGTTGTGGAGGAATTTGAAACGGCTGTTGAGACTTTCAAGAACAACTTGGAGAGAGTGCAGAAAGAGCAACAAGAGAAGGAGCACGAGGAGAAAACAGCACTACGCCGACATATCGAGCAAGCTGTCAAGTACCACATAATGCAAACATGTCCCATTGCGAGCTACTTCTTTGGAGAAATAGCTATTCTGCAAAAGGCAAAGTCAAGCCACGAGGCAGCAATGTGCCCTGTCTGTCTCAGCATTTTCCAAGATCCGGCGGAATTGGAGTGCCAGCATGCTTTTTGCAAGTCCTGTTTGGAACTACATGTCCGTGCAAATGGACAGAATCGCAATGGAGTCTCCTGGGACATAAAATGCCCTGTATGTCGTACGCCTCACTCAGTGAAGATCGATGCATTGCCACCAGCAAACCGAGCTCTGATGGAAATTGTGGATCTGGCAAAGGAGGATGCTCATGCGTTTGAAGCATACAAGTCTGAAGTGAAGAATATGGAAACGTCTTTGGCATATGTTGAAAGTAAATTGGGAAAGCAGCCTGCTCATACTCAAGCTGAGTCGAGTATTTGTCATGCTCTTGTCACCCAAGGTACGGACCTACAGACAATGGAGTATGCCTATGCTGTGTTTTCGATCGCTCATGAGCAAAAGATGATGAAAGAGAGCAAGTCAGTACCCTATGAGAAGCGGATTGCTGGCTTTGTAGCAGCTGCTGGAAGGAATGGACGCTTCCATGTCACCGAGTTCATGAACAAGCACTGCATACGGAGTGATTATACACCCAAAGCAATGTTCCCAACCACCATGACAAAAGCAGAGTTTAACCAGGCGGTGGAGGCAAGACTGAAATCAATTCAGAGCAAGCCTATGGCGTCAGGTCTACCGGATATATTCCATAGTGCTGAGTGCAAGACGGTTGTGGAGAATTGCCGTGCCAGCATGATCCGGGTTTTGGAGTTTGATCATCGTGTTACCACCAGCAAACCACTGTACGCTGTTGGGAGGCAACATGAAACTAAACGCCAACACAGGTCAAAAGCACTCTCTGATGCGGCTAACAAGGTCAGAGAATACTTCAGCAACAACTCCCATGGACAGCTAAAGATGGTGATTGAGAGAATCACTCTACCAAGAGGCTATCAACGTCAATTGCAAATCTCCCAAAAAGAGCAGCGCCGGTCGGCCGTGACCCATGTTCAACAGCTTTACACCTTTGATCCACTGAAGGAAGAACTGAACAAAATGGAAGAGGATGCTGGCTTCATGCCAACTCCGCGCATCCAGCAATCCACAGCAAACATCCCTTTAAATCCTGCAACTCAGTCACTGCTCAAGTTGTACTATTTGCAGACTAACAAAGTGCTGGCAATAGTTCAAACTCGCCAACAGACCCGCATACAGACGGACATTCACTTGCTACCTCCAGTGAATAACAAGCGAAGCTACTCCCTACCTACAACGCGTTTCTCAATAAAGCGTGATGCTGTGGGCTTGGTGGATTTTGATGAAGACACACGTATGGTGGCATTCCATTTTCCTGGCACGGAACGAATCTATGCGTATCGTTTTGATCCAGACTGGAAGCAATGGAGTTTGCGATGCGAGATTGATGTGAAGCAATGCAAAGGTGATGCAACTCTAACTCAACTTCTCTTTGTACCTGGTCAGGAAAAGTTGTGTCTACTCGATGAGCATGGCCAATGCCATATTTATGATGCACAGGACAAGATCATAAAGAAGCGCACTATCAGTGTGGAACTTCCAATTGACAGAGCTATTGTGTCTCTTGACGGATCTTGTTTGATGACTTTCAGTGTCCAACAGCCTCAGTCCACCAAGAGCAGGTTGCTACCAAAGACAAATCCAGATGCTACCTCATGCCCTGCAAGCAGCAACTCAGATGCTGTGGTGGAGCATCCAGTACCGATTCTAGCAACTGAGACTGAGTCAGTGGATGCTATGGGCACAGATTCCCTTGCCAATGTGGATGAAGAAGTCACCAGCAGGCATAGCGGTATCGATTCAGGAGATGAACTGTATGATTCAGATGGTGACTCTGCTGCAGGGCAATGTGAAGCTGGTGACACTGAAGATGCTGAAATGCACTCTGACAGTGACACGTGTGATGAGCCCAGTGAGCCCGAGATCGTTATGCATGTCTATTCTTTAGTCAACTTGAAGCCGATCAAGACTGTCCACCTAGACCGTGATCAATTTCCTCCAGCATGCATACAAACTATGCAACTGATGCTCATAGGTCGGCAGATGCATCTGATTGCATTCAACAAGGAACACCATCAGCTACGATCTCTTCTCTTGGACATCAGGTCAGCAAGAAGTGTCTTCAACATGACTGACCTGGAGCGGTCCATGCCCAGAGCCAAGTCGTCGCCCGAATCACCAACGAATGCCCCCTCCAACTACCTGGACTATTTGTACTATGTGTACGACAAGTTCTGTATCACTGATTGTCTGTCCACCAGCCGAGCCAGCATACGCCTCAATTGTATCCTGGATATTCCTGCTGAGCGTGTTCGACAGCTGCACCCCGAGTATTCTCCAGACACATACGTGAAGAAGCTGTTCCATGCTCTGGAGTCCAGCACGCACAAGCCAACCCAGATGCTCCATGTCACGACACAGAACACTGCTTTCACCGACAGTGTGCACCTTAGCTTTGCCGATAGCGCTGCAGCGGCTGCTGCACCGGCATCTATCTCTGACTGGCTGCAGCGTGTGATCTGCCTTGTGCCAATTCAGATTGCACGCGCAGAGCAAAACATGTTGACCTTGTTTGCTGATGGCATGAAGAGTGATGCGGCATTGTCGGCCCATACCGTCTTTGACTTGCAAGACAGCATACAGCTTGGTCTGTATGAAGCACTTCTTGATGATTGGCCTGGCCCTGTGAAGGTCATCTCAAGCATGGGAAAACAGAGTACAGGCAAAAGCTATATGCTCAACCATCTGACAGGCTCTCTGTTTGATATCTCAGGTGATCGATGCACAGATGGCGTGTGGCTGACGCTTCGTCAAGGCCAAGGCTGTTTGTATGTAGTGCTGGACTTTGAAGGACTTGGTTCCATGGAGCGTACAGAGCAGGAGGACATGTTCTTGTCGGTGATGAATGCTGCCATCAGTGGACTGACTGTCTTCAAGACCGAGTTCCGTGTGGATCAAGATACCCGTAACATGTTGAGTCGATTCAGAGATGGCGTGGAGTTGATCAAGGGTGACGAGCGATTGTTGCGAGGCTGGTTCTATATCAACATCAAGGATGTGGACAAAAGAGACATCAAAGACTTGCAAAGCCATTTCAAACGAAAGCTGGAAGACATCTGCAAGGAAGATGAGAACAACTTCCTGACGAAGATGTACCGTGGGCAGTTGGCTGTACAAACGTTTCCAACGTTGGGCAATGTGGAGTTCTACACGGAACTGGATAGCATTCGTCTTCACTTGGAGTCTATTGATACACCAGCCTTCAAATCTGGCCGGGAGTTCAAGGAAGTGCTAAAACTACTGATGGCCAAGATCCACATGCAAGAATGGTCTAGCTTTGACCGCACATCGGTGGCTCTGAAGGTGGATCGCCTACAGCGTCACTTGCAAGCAGCTATAGAGTTTGGCTGCGTCCGGAATCACAACAATGAAGACGAACCACTCCTGCTCGCGAGTGGTGAAGCCGTCACTGATCATGATTTAGTACTGGAGTCTGGGGAAAGTGTGCCAAACTACCTGGATAGCGGTGTGGAGCTGCGTGGCTCTCAGGAGAAAGTCTTGATCGAGTCACTGCTTTCTGTCTACTCCAGAGTGAATGTAGACAGAAGAGTGTGTGAAGATGTGAAAGCATGGACGAGTTGTTTCCAGAGCTTTGTGCACGCTCTGTGTGAGAGACGCAAGAAGAGAATCACTGAGTGGGTGAACAGTCATGTCGGTGGATACAGTGATGATGGCGATGTGAGGATTCTGCAGAAGGAAGTCAAGGCTGATCTGTCTCGCTTACGTGAGAACTGGCAACTATGTGAAGCAAAGTGTGCGCATTGCTTCTACCCGTGTTTGCTGAAGAAGTATCACGAGTCTGATGAGCATGATTGCTTAGGTGACCATCGCTGCCATGAGTCCTGTACTTACTGTGACGAAGCAGATGAAGATGATTCTCTGGAAGGTACTGCTAGTGCTGACAATGCGCAGACCCCTGAGGGCAACGTAGTTGTGCAGGACTCACGCAGGGATTCAGACATGGATGTAGCAGAAGATGAGACTGTGTGTAGCGATGCGGTGAGGAACGACGACGCTCCGGGCCCTGATTTGAAGAATGCTGTCCCGTACTCTGCTCAGCAATGTCGTGACCAAGCGGGTCACGCCGGTAGACACGATTGCAAGGTACGCAATCATACTTGTGGTCAAATTTGCCACTTGTTTGGCAAGGACAACTGTAACCGAAACTGTGTCAAGAAGATAGGTCATGAACGAGATCCAAACGACGGTGAACATCTCTGCAACGCTGTACAACATCTGTGTGGGGCTAGCTGCACCTTGCCTGGCTGTGCTAACAAGTGCATCAGTCCATATGAGATGACTCATGACAAGCATGCTTGCCGTGACCTGGCCTGTCCAGAAACTTGCGCCATTGATGGCTGCAACAATAAGTGCCAGGAGACCAATGACCACTTCCACGCTCTAACCAGCGATGGACAACTCGCCCAAGTCAACCATTTCTGTGGACAGGAACACGTCTGTCCTAAGGAATGTGACATTGAAGGCATCTGCTTCATTTCCTCTGAGCGCAAGATAGAAGAGCGTCGCTTCAAGACATCGGCCGGTGATGAGTTCACGTACAAGAGTGTCACCGATCAGAATGGAACACGCAAGAAATGCTGCATCATGATCCCTCCAAACGAGAAGGAACACGGAGGTGATCATCGCTGCACGCCATCTGATGTGAACAAGATACACTTCTGTGATCGCAGGTGTCCATCATGTGGCTACTTCTGCACATTGAAGTACAATCACGATGAGGATTTGCACGCAACCGATCATGGAAACATGAGACTGACCCATGTGGTGGCTGCTGAGGATGTGTTTGTTGTGGAAAAGCGTCGCTATGGTCAAGGTGACAGTGGTGAAGCTGAAATGTGCAACTTCCACTGTAAAAGTCTTGGACGAGGACATATCCATCTCATGCTGTGTGAGGATAGTGCTAGTAGCAGTAAAGAGTGCACGGTTTCTGAAGCGGATGGTAAACGCCATGAAACAGAAAAATATGGTCCCGATGAGGATATTGCGAAAGATGAGCTGACACACGATGCATTCTGGAAGGCCATTCGGTTTCAGGACCCTTGTACTCCCGAAGACCGAGATTCATTCAGGCAGTGTCCAATACGCTGTATGGCTGATGAACATCAACAGGCAACCAGCGACGATCAGCCGACTGAATCCTATTGTACAGAGAAGTTGTGGCATGCTCCACTCTCGCAAGCTGACTCAGCTCGGTTCGGTGGTGCTGGCCACGTGCACAGCAGCGGTCATCATTTCAAGTGTGTCCATGCCGGTGCTGAGCCACTACATCATGTCTTGGTTGTGGACCGCTCTGGATCAATGGGCTCTGGAGATGCTCAGCCCACTAATCATTATCTACGACAGTCGCATCCTAATCGCCTCGGTGCAGTGCTGGACGCTTGCAACCAATACTTGGTGATGCGGCATGGAAAGTCTCAGAACGATATTGTGTCTTTCATTGCATTCGAGAGCAATGCAACAACCATCTTTGCAGGTCAGCCGCTGCAACCAGATGTCCTGTTTGACCGAATGAGATCGGTCAGGGTGACAGGTGGTACAAATTTCAGCCCGGTAAGTAAATTTCATTGAGTCATGAATATGGTGGGTGGATTCTTTGAAAAGAGCTAGTAAAACCAAGTTTAAGATTGATACCTTGTAGAAGAGGGTGTGTTCCTGCATGCCTAGTATTTACTCTTACGTTCTGGTTTTCACTGGTTGTTGGTAACCAACACGTAACCACTGGCGAGAATAGCTCTAGATGTTATCCGGTGATGTTTGTCGGAGAGCTAGATTTTCAGCATCAGGCAAAGTTTTCCAGTGGTTGCCTATAAGGACTTCCTGTTAGGATCACAGTTTATAATGCTGTTTAGGAAAATGATGCATTTTAACGTACACAAGAGTTTCAAGGGGACTTCTAGCCCACTCTCAAGCCAGGATCTGAATGTTTTTCGACATACAAATCCCTCATACTCCAATAATGATAGCTTGCATAGACCTCGGTCCTACTGGTAGGACCATCATACACAGACATGCTGCACGGTCTCTGTTTTAATATTCACCTGAAGCTTGACCCTAAACTGTCGCTAAGGGGCTAGTGAAGGAGTCCACAAATTCTGGACGTGATCATACAAGGCATACTATGAAATTCTATGCCAACAGTCCAAGGTAACCATGGAAACGGAGTGTAAATTTGTGTAATTTTGTATTCCACTGCCATGGCAAGCTGAGAAAGATATTAGGTCTTCATCACAATTGATGTGCCATGGTCAAAATTCACTTTGGACAGAGGTGCTAGCGCTCCGACAGGAACATGTGCGGCCATTTTGACAATTGATAAAGTTGCACATATGCAATGCACTGGACATAGGTTTGCATTTTGCGCCATTACTTTGCCCTACAAAGACCTCATCTCAACAGTTGTTTCAAAACAATTCTCCACCAAAAGCACTTTGAAGCGCGATTTCTTGGGTCCTACCGGTAGGACGGCATATAAGCTATCAATAAACTCCCACAGCACCACGGTGCCAGGATGACGTTTTCCAATTTGTACAGGTCCTTCCGATAAGCCACCCAAAATACAGAACCTACAATTGATAATGACAGCAGGCATGTACACCTCTTGACCTGTAGTTGTAGTAGTTGCCAAAACAATGATGGTTGGTCAACACCGCAATAAATGCACTGCTGTAAAGTCCGTAAATAGGTACTTTGATGCTTTCAAATTTAGGGGTCACACCCGCACTAACTTTGGGGCATTTGCTGACTTTCGGGCACGAACTAACTTTCGGACCTGACTGGTGTGTAATGGACAAGTCATTTTTGTGTGTCGATGTGCATGCAACACACTGTATGTGCGAACTGTACCGGTACTTATTTGGGCCCGTAGGTTTATTGGGCTGAACTTGACTTCAATAGACGGAGTCGACAGGACGGAGGGGATATTTATTTAGGGTAGATACTTATTTACGGACTTTTACAGTAATCTTGCTTGTCAAACCGTAATTGTGCAAGGTATCCTGCAAATTCCTATACGAGAGGAGAGATTGTTGTAATATCCTGCAATTGTGCCCAACATTATATTCTATACCACATTTTGCAAAAGAAGAAACCCTCCGTATGAGCAGAGCCTGCACGTGGCAGCTGCTCTGAAAGGAAATCAATCCTTCACACTACGCATACACGTGCAGCACTTCCACAAGTGTATACAAAAGGTGCGATATTACCCTCGTAATTTGCGGTGCATCGTCACGCGAAATTACGCATCTATGAGCGACATCCACAGAACCTGCTGGGAGAGTACGTGTGTACTCGAGTCTCATCCTGAGCACATTTTTCAGTCTTCTTTTTTCACCTCCAGTATAGCGGTATCTTTCATTGCAAAGCCGTCCTCGATTGCTGTGTTCGTTGTTCAAACGAAGTGGACATTCAATCAAGAAGGCAGAGGACATAGGAGCCTGATTGGAGTCTCTCGTGGCATAGGACGGCCACACAGAGACACTTTGCGATTTTCCGAATATAAAACACCGTACGCACGATGCAGAGATCAATTTGTGCGATATCAAATTTTTTGTGATCTACCACATCGAGCAGAACGGGATCCAAACACAAGCTTACCGACGGTTAGGCTACCGACCTGACTGGACAAATGATCCCTTGCTTCACCAGACGCCAGAAGTCGGAAACCATGTCCTTTGCCGCGACGTCCATCTCCGAAAAGAACCGTCAGGCGAAATAGCACGTCATAGTACATTTGAGATCAGCGGGAAGAAGATGACGACGTCCACTAATTTAGTATCTGTGCACACGAATCTGCAGTGTGTGTGCCTCTGTGTGTCAGCTATGGCATCATCCCCTGTGGTTCCATGCCTAGCATGTACGTCTGAACCAGGGAGCCCTACACGTATGTGTAGGGCTCCCTGGTCTGACCATCCTGCAAAGTTTGAATGACGTAGGTTGAGCGATCGCTCCGCGAAACATACTTTTTGAATTTATCTTCATAGTATATCTTCCACCATTGAAATTTCGAATTTCTTGCTGAGAGGGGTGGCTTGCAACCTCGATATGGCTTGTTCCAGGCATGCTTTGGAGCCATCCCCTGTTGAAGTAGTGGCGGGGATCTGCCCTGCAACTGCTTCAACAAAAAAACGGTTCGATCTGAGAAAGGGTGAGACCGCGAATCTCGGTTGAATATTGAGTATTTCAAGCCTTTTCACGACGAAGATGGAGTTCTTTTTGGAGATGGGCATCGCGGCAAAGGACATGTTGTCCGACTTCTGGCGTCTGGTGAAGCCAGGGATCATTTGTCCAGTCAGGTCGGCCATTTTTTGTTGTAGCAGTTGCAGGGCAGATCCCCGCCACTACTTCAACAGGGTTTCGTTTCACAGCATGCCTGGAACAAGCCATATCGAGGTTGCAAGCTACCCCTCTCAGCAAGAAATTCGAAATTCCAATGGTGGAAGGTATACTACGAAGAGAATTTCAAAATGTATGGTTGGCGACGCGATCGTTCAACCTACATCATTCAAATTTGCAGGATGGTTCTGACCTACATGCTAGGCATGGAACCACAATGTTTGATGTCATAGCTGACACACAAAGTGTTGTGTCCTGATCCCCATGCACACAAGCATCCAGCTAGCACAAGTAGATTAGGGAAAAAGCCTTGAACAAGAGCATGCGCAGTGTGATCATGCTAGATCATGCTAGTGCTACGGAAGTAGGTATATTACTACTATGTACAGTACACATGAGTACCTATCTATCTAGAGTACATATATAACAATATCCCCCTCACAAAGAAGAGGTGAATCGAGAAAATGTCCAATACTAAGAAGTAGACTATTAACCTAACAAGTTCGGCATAAACATCCAGAATGCCTTCTAACTACAAGTATTTGCTCTTGCTCCTGCTCTTGTAGCAGTTGAGCACTCTTGCGTGGGGTAGTGCCTTTGCTGATTGCGTTATGCAGAGCTCACTGACTTGTCAGTTTGAGCACTCTGGCAAGGTACGTTCGGGCCTGATCGGAAATTTTCATTTCCATTGCTCTCAGGTTCGGCCTCATTTTTCTCTGTGCTGCGCTGATGAGTTCAAAAAGAACGAAACAGCATGCTGTCCGCAGATTGAGTGTTTCGCTCCTGCTCTTGTAGCAGTTGAGCACTCTTGCGTGGGGTAGTGCCTTTGCTGATTGCGTTATGCAGAGCTCACTGACTTGTCAGTTTGAGCACTCTGGCAAGGTACGTTCGGGCCTGATCGGAAATTTTCATTTCCATTGCTCTCAGGTTCGGCCTCATTTTTCTCTGTGCTGCGCTGATGAGTTCAAAAAGAACGAAACAGCATGCTGTCCGCAGATTGAGTATTTGCAAATATACAGAGTGGTGAGTACCTCACAATGCTGCCACAGTAGAGTTAGACAGTGTGATTCACCCACATACATTCATCAGGTATGAAAAGAGAGTTCCAACTCAATCTATTCAAAACAGAACAGTCCAGATACCAAGAATGCTACTGGTTATACCGAGCTGGTTTGATAACTGTTCGACCAGACCGTGTAAACGACTGGTGTTGACCATTTCTGGACGGTGCAGCGGGCTCTGTGCCGCATTCTCTGCGATGCTGCTGCGGTTTCTGCTGTTGTTGCTGCTGCTGCTGTAGCTGTTGCTGCTGCTCTTGCTGCTGTTGTTGTTGCTGCTGCTCTTGTTGCTGTTGCAAAGCTAACTCTGGCAAGCTCTGTGTAGCCTGTTGGTCAACTGTTGCATCTTGCGGAGACTCAGGCTTACGGGTATTGGGCGGCGGCGGGACCATGTCGTGACGCGATGGTTGTGTAGGATGCACAGCCGGACCCGTTCGTTCTGCAAACTGAGTCAGTGGAACTGAACGTGGACGTAACTGATTCCGGTGACGTTTCCAGACAACGTCATCAATCTGTACAGTATAATTCATAGGACTGCACAAAGAAAGTACCACACCAGGTATCCAATTAGGATCAGACTTTCGGAAACTCCAGACAAACACTGCATCGCCCGGTTTGTACTCCGGTGTGAGGTGCATGTTTTGGTTGAAAGACTGGACACCTGCATTCGGTTTGGATTTAAGCGTGTCGTACCGCAGACGCGGCTGTCGATTCATGAGCATTTCTGCCGGAGACTTCCCATTAGAGCTAGGAGTACTTCTGTACGTCAGTAGAAACCGTTGTAAGCGTGTATCCAGATCATCATTAGTACCCATTAATTTCATTTTCGCTTTGAAGTGACCCACATAGCGCTCCGCTAGGCCATTGGTTTCCGGATGCCCAGGGGCAGAACATGTGTGCGCAATGCCATTTGCTCGAAGGAATGACTTAAACTCAGCACTGGTGAATTGGCTACCATTATCAGTGACAATGTGTGTTGGTAAACCAAAAGTTGCAAACAATCGTCGGAGAGATTTGATTGTGCCAGCAGAAGTAGCCGTTGACATAGGAATGACCTCGAGATATTTAGAGTAGGCGTCGACTACTATCAGGAACATCTTTCCCAGAAATGGGCCAGCGAAGTCTAGATGGAGACGTCGCCAAGGACCCGAAGGCCATGACCAGGTAGCGTACGATTTGGTCGGTTTGCGTGCCTGTTCCTGACACACCATGCATTGCTTAGTAGTTTCTTCAATAGCCTCGTCGATTTTCGGCCACCAGAAATAGCGACGAGCTATGCGTTTCATTCGTACAGCACCTGTGTGCTCCGAGTGCAATTCATTCAAAAGGATAACACGCAGTGACATTGGAATGACAACCCGATCGTTCCACAGAAGTACAATGTCGGCCACAGAGAGTTCCCAACGTTTCGCAAAGAACGGTTGTAAATCCACATTGTTTACTTTCTCAGGCCACCCATTTAGCGTGTAGTGTAGAACTTGGCTCAACACTGGATCGCTTTTGATTTCACCCACAATGGTTTGTGCATCAATAAGCTCATCTTCTATGAACAAGACTTGTGTTTCTTCCATTTCAGCTTCAGACACCAAAGATTCTGAAACTGGTTTCCTCGACATGAAGTCAGCCATGACATTCTGTTTTCCAGCAATGTGTCGAATCGTGTAATCATATGCAGATAGCATTAGTTTCCATTTTTTAAGTCTGGAAGAGACTAAGCAAGGTACACCCTCGTGAACGCCAAAAAGCTTAACCAGAGGTCGGTGGTCGGTTTCCAAAACGAACTTCTTGCCCATTAAGTATTGGCGGAACTTTGTCACCCCGAACACCAATGCTAACGATTCCCGTTCAATATTTGAATAGTTTCGTTCCGCAGATGTGAGAGTGCGTGAAGTGTATGCAATAGGATTCAAAGTGCCATTTTCCTCTCGTTGTAGTAAAACTGCACCCAGACCTACGCCTGAAGCATCGGTTTGTAGAACGTGTTCTCGTTCTGGTAAATAGTGAGCCAAAACATCAGTAGAACACAGAGCCTCTTTCAAAGTGGTAAAGGCCTATTGTTCGACATCTGTCCATTTCCAAGGAGAATCTCTCTTCAGAAGAACATACAATGGTGCCATTATCGTTGCAAACTTTGGAATGAATTTCCGGACGTAGTTTGCAGAGCCGATAAAAGATTGCAATTCATTTACCGAGGTAGGCAGTTTCGCTTGTACCACTGCATCAATTTTCGTCGGAGATGGTGCAATACCATTAGCGGTCAAGACATGACCGAGATACACAATTTGCTCTTGCATGAATTGTGCCTTGCTAGGTTTGACCCGCATACCCGACTCCTGTAATCGCTCAAGAACCCGTTCGAGTGTACGTCGGTGTTCTTCATCATTACGCCCTGTGATCAGTATGTCATCTACGTACACAATGCAGCCCTCTATGTCCGCTAGTAATGCTTCCATAGTACGTTGAAACACCGAAACTGCAGAGTGTATGCCAAAAGGTAGTCGAGTATACTCGTACAATCCACGATGAGTATTGACTGTAGTGTAGACCCTCGAGTTTTCATCAAGCTCTAACTGGTGATACGCTTGTGATAAATCGAGTGTGGTGAACTTCTGACCCCCACTTAAACTGGAACGAATTTCTTCAACAGTGGGTAAAGGATACCTCTCCAAGTCAGAGTTAGCATTAATGGTGCGTGAGTAATCTGCACAAATTCTAATTGAGCTATCAGGTTTGCGCACCGGTACTGTAGGGGAAGCCCATTTGGAAAATTCCACTTTGCGGATAATACCCTCGGCTTCCAGCTTATCCAAGGATTCTTCATACTTGCGTTTAATTGCAAACGGTATGGTTCGGCATTTATTAAAAACTGGGTGGTCGTCGTTCACCCTCAACGTGACTCATGTCGTGTTCAGCTTGCCCAACGAGTCGTCAAATAGTGTGGGATACTTGGCCATTATTTCGTCCCGCAAGACAGCACGCTCAATTGCCTTATCAATCTGTGATTTGACCTGGAAAATTTCCTTCCAGTCTAACTGGAACACTGCCAGCAGATCTCTGCCTAGCAGCGACGGCCCCTTGGTATCCACAACACGTAGCAGAACATCGTGTGTTTGCCCATTAAGTGATACCGTGAACTTTCGTTCGCCCAGACAGGGGATGGGTGACCCCGAAAACCCAATGAGCCGAACTGTGGGAGGTGCCAACGATGTACTAGGGGAGCCCAATTTCTCGAAGTCAGCCTTTGTAATTATTGTAACGGCACTTCCTGTGTCTATTTCCAAATGTGTAGCTAACGGTGAATCATTGATGGTTGCCATGGCAGTGTAGGGGGGGGGGTTGTGCCCATTCCCTGGCCGAATCTTAAATATGGGTACATCCGAAACGATCTCACCTCTGGTTTCCTCTGGTTCCGCCTCGTCACCCACATGGTTGACCTGGCCAGCACGCTTCCGTTTCGCGAGGCAGGCTCTCTCGAGATGGCCGGTCTTCTTACAGAAACGACATTCCGTGTTTCGATGTGGGCACTTGTTTGCCATGTGTAGATCCGAAGTGCACCTGAAACATTTCTTCGTAGATGTATTAGTAGTAGTACCTCGGCCTCGGTGGTCTCGCTGGTCCGTCGTGCGGTTCGGTGCAGTACGATTTGGTGAGCTTCTCGTATGCAGCTTATTTACAGAGCTCGCACCTGGAGTGAGTTGCCCGGCGTACGTGATGGCACTCTCCTCTCGCTCTGCGATCTGTACGACATTGGCAAACTTATTCGTATCTGCATCCGCGCTTGTCAAGATCTTGCGCTTTATCACGGTCCGAGCTGGCCAGGCCGGCAACAAACTGGTCCTTTAGTGCACGGTCTAAATGATCGCCAAACTGGCAAGGCACTGCAGCTCGCTTGAGTCGGTTGCAAAAGTCGACGATCCTCTCGCCCGCCTGGTGTTGAACACACGATCGGAATTGATAAGATGCCGTAGTTGCAGATCGACGAACTTTGTAATAATCCCTTAGCAGAGCACAAACTTCGTCAAACGATTTGTCCGCAGGGCTGGTTGGGAGGCAGAGACTCTTGAGGGTAGCGTAAACATCTTTCGACAGGCTAGAAATCAGGTGGGCAAACATTTTCTTTTTTACCCGTTCCTTTTCCGCGTTCGAGGCACTGCTGGCAACAACTCCAATGTCGTTGGCCAGAAAATAGAAGGCCGTTCTTGATACTCGGCAAAATTGCCACCCGTAAATGGCTCTATTGTAGCTCTTACAGTAGCCATATCGACATGTACTACCGTCTACAAACACTAAAATAGAGAAATTATGCAAACATCTTCGTCGCCATTTGTTGTGTCCTGATCCCCATGCACACAAGCATCCAGCTAGCACAGTAGATTGGGGAAAAAGCCTTGAACAAGAGCATGCGCAGTGTGATCATGCTAGATCATGCTAGTGCTACGGAAGTAGGTATATTACTACTATGTACAGTACACATGAGTACCTATCTATCTAGAGTATATATGCCACACACACAGCACATTTGTGTGCACAGATACAAAATTAGTGGACGTCGTCATCTTCTTCCCGCTGGTCTCAAATGTACTATGACGTGCTATTTTGCCTGACGTGTCCATCGCCAAAATCAGACAAGTACTCGTAGCACTGGCCACCTGAAGACTGAACTCTACTAACTGGGGTAGGGTTGTGGGGCAACGTATGACTAATACGTCCAGACTCCCAAAAAGTAACAGTTGCTTGTGCGGTAGTCGGAAAGATTGCTTGTTTCTTAAATCGAAGTTTGATCTGAAATCAAATTTTATTTCCAGAACCTAAATTGCAACGAACGAATCTCAATCTACAAGGCGGTTTTAACCTGCATGCTTATTTTCTCTCTGCAACCTGTGTAGGCTTTGGATCGCGTCAGTGAAGTTGTAGAGTCAGTGGAACGCTCTGGTACACGCGGTTGTGTCGTTATATTCCTTAGCGACGGTGAGGGCTCGTTTCAAGAAGGCAACTTGCGCCGTCTCTTGCAAGGACGTATGAACAGAGGGTAAGAGACAAGATCTAAGCAAGATCCTTGATTTACTTCTTCATAGATCCGGGTGCTCTATGTTTGGCATAGGGTGCTTGTGTACCTGTTGTGCACAGGTGTTGACCTGACGCCCACGGCGCAGCAAAAGGCAAAACTTGAGAGGAAAAAGACTCGGTTGTTTTGTGCTGTGTGTACATCATTTTGTATTGAGAACAATTGTTGTCATTGACATTTCCTTTCTCTCCCCGACATGGCATCCCTCGAGAAGCTTGTCGAGGCAGTGCAGTCTCAACGAGGTGATATCGAAAAGTGAAGGAAAAGTATGGAGTCAGCAAACATACCTGCGTTGGAGGAGCTGTGCAGACGTTTCAAAATTGTCCACAGCAATAAGAAGAAGACTGAGTTGGTGGAGACCCTTGTTGGACTCGCTGAGACTTCTTCTGCACCCTCGGCGCTGCCACATATTGCGCCAGAAGCGTCCGCGAAAACAGTTGAGATCACGGCAGAACTGGAAGCCATATGATTCTGCCTAGTGCTGGGCACATGTACACGATTTCCTCATTGATGATTATAGTTACGAGGACATACACACGTACCTCGTGGAAGTGAGGGACAAATCCTCGCCTGACCGTCAGCGCAACAATTTCAAGTCACTGAAAGGCTATAGCTATTTCACTCAGAGAGGAAGTGGGCGAACATACAAGAAAACGCACAAACGCATGCATACACAGCGCGCACACACGCATGCACACACACACGCACACATACGCACGCACACGCACACACACACACACACACACACGCGCGCGCGCGCGCATACGGTCCTGGCTTCACTTAGCGTCCAACATCTATAAAGTGATGCTGTCTCCTTCCGTCGAAGCTTGCGATAACCTATTTTGAGAGTGACACATTGCATGCCACCAAGGTCAACATCATGAACGTGTGATGTTTCATCATGCAAGATATGATATATTTTAATATATCATATCTTGCATGATGAAACATCACGCGTTAAAATTTTTATGAAACCTCACTCCAACAAGTTACGGCAATAACGGTCTCTTTACTACTAATCATCAATTATGTTTCACCAAATTTTCCAGCCTGGCCCATCATCAGGGTGAAAAAGCATGATGGCCCAAAAATTTGGTGGAACATAATAATGATGTAAAGAGAAAAGGACTTATAAGTTACTAGTTATAACGAACAGTCCACCAAGGTAACGAGATAAATTATATATAGATAATACACAGTCAGATAGTTTGGTGCCTTGCACAAGGGGTACATGGATGCAGCTAATGGGGTCGCTTTCGGCACTTGTGCCAGTGGTTGTGAGACTTACCCACTCACCCCCACCGTTAGGCGCTGCATCTGCCGCTAGGGTTTATCGGGTGTTAGCGGCCGTCGTGAGTTCCCTTCGGGAACGGATACGATAATTTACTTTTTTTTTTTTTTTTTTTTTTTGTCGCACTATCTGACTGTATATTATCTCGTTACCGTGGTGGAGTCCCCCAGGACTGTTAGTTATAACTACTAACCGTCTTATAGGTCCTTTTCTCTTTACATATTACTATTGGCTCAACATCCGAGTTTTTATTGAACATAATATTATTCATGATTCGCAGTAAAGAGACCGCTATTGGAGTTGAGGAGTGAGGTTTCATAAAGGTGTTAGTGGCTGCGTTGGAGTTTGCGGACAATGAGAAAAATATGAGAGACCGATGCAACTTGTACCGTATGTCAGCGCCTTTAAAGCCATGGCCTTATATTCGAAACACGACTGCTTTCCTAGCTATTTTAATTGTGAAATGACTCACCCACTACGCCATGCCATAAAAGTCAAAGTCCACACAGAAATTTCAATCTAAATCCACTTGTTCAGTGTTCACCCTTCCTGCTGGGCTGTAAGTTTGTTAGTATAGCACATATTCCTTAATTTTGCAAAACATACTTCAAACGTCATTTCATTTATGAAGCCCATGGCTTTATAACTGAGACTGGCTTTATAATCGAATATACATCGCTTTAAAAAGGTGCGGACATACGGTAATCGTTAATGTTGGACAAAACGGATAACTTGTAAACTTATGGTCCTCTCTTTTTTTAAATGTAATCCTTGGCTCTCCATCCGAGTTTAATACCGATGAAACTGTTCTTGTACAGCGATGTACCAATAATTGCTTGCTTGTTTGCTTGCTTGCAATTTCCTCCATCCTCCGCACTGGACCCGAGCTTAGATGTCAGACCGGCTGCAGAGGATGCGGCCCAAAGACCTCATCTTGACAAAAATAGTGCTGTTTGTCAAAAAGTCCTAAGTTCGAACGAGATCGAACAGACTAATCTGGTAGTTCTATGCTGCCTGCCATTACCGTACGTCAGTACCTCAGGTGTCACAAGGAGGCTGTTTGTGTATGCAAGCACCACATGATCACAGATGAGTGGCTGCAACACAAGGCGTTGGCAAGAGGTGCAGAAAAAATGGAGGAGACTGCACCAGCTAATGATAAAGATCACGTGGTAACGGATGACACCTAGCTTTGGTACCTTGTGTATCGCTCATACTAGTACCGTAGAATCCCGTGTATGCGCCCATGCTCGCACATAAGCCCAGGGTTAATTCAAACACCACAAAGCTTCATCGTACAAGCCCATGGGCCTAGTTCATGCCAAATACATGTGCGTAGTACAGTATTGTTTTTGTTTTTGTTTTTTTTTGTACACAATCATCGGTTGTTTTTGTTTGCACAGTGGTTTTCAGCAATGTACTTCTCACTTCCTTGGTACTTTTCAATAGCACAATTTTGGTGTCGGCGTATAAGCCCATGTCCGCGTATAAGCCCATGTTCTCGTATAGGCCCACCAAAATGTACTTGTGAAACAGATAAGCCCATGGGCTTATCCTCGGGATTCTACGGTATCTACCGTACAAATTCCATGGAAGATTTCCATCTACGCAAACACAGACAGCAAAGCGAGGTCCCGCACGCGAATGCTCTTCTTGATCGATCACTCTGATAAGCTTTCTTCCATCTTCCTTAAATTTCCCTCTTTTTTTAATGGCTGCAATTCTGTTTTGTGTAATTGCCAACACACAGCCATGTAAATTTAGTCAACCGCCGGCTATCAGTACATTGGATAGCTGCTGTCAGACTGAAGCTATTCTATTGCTATTGTGCCAACATCGGAACTCGAAATGGTAAGATTGTGATCCTATGATACATTTCTTACATGTGCCCTTTTCCTGCTCAGGCAAAGCATGGTCCGGCTCCACACCATCAAGTTCGGTTCTGGTCATTCAGCGGAGCTGCAGCGCATGGTTGACATAGTCAAGTCCTTCTCGCAAAGTGATAAATTTGCTAGCCAGAGTTCTTACAGCACCAGGGTGGGTGGTATTCAGCTTGCCGAGCACTTTGAAGCCCTGGCCAGTTCGTTAAACAAAGGTGGCTTCCTTGTCACCTAAGGGGGCCCCCGGTGGTCCACGTGTCGATGCTTGGCGTACTAGTAATTTTTGTTCCTGTGGCTTTTTGTGTGCAATAGATTACTAATAATGCACCCTGCTTCTTAGTCAATTTCTTCTCATAATTTTCAATATTCTACATGTGTAGTCCTTGCAAGGCTGGTTCCCTGTCCATCTCCACTCCAATCCAACACATACACGGTTGTTGTGCATACAAAACACGTGGTATGGCTCGTCCTCTTTTTTTTCGGACCTTTTTTCTTCATCTTTTCGTCACTTGACGAGCTTCTGTTTGCTCGTATACACTTGGCATACCTAGCGAACAGGTAATAGCAGTTGTTTTCCGCCTAATAATTTTCTCTCCATGATCCACCACTTTCTCAATCCCCCTGCATTTATGTACAAGTTAGTATGTGCATGCACTTGCCTTAGCCGCTCAGTTTAGTTTCGTGGAATTATCTGCTAGGACCTTTTAGACTATTTTCCAGCATTTTGTAGATCTCAATTTGTGAGCCTTTATGGTCGGTTTTCATTCACTTATTTTGCCAGTATTTTACTTTGACTTTACTTTTCTCCTGGCATGGCGCACGGTATGCTCTCCATCAGCATGGCGTTTCGCACACTAGCTTTAGATGTGGTTTGCAATGAAGTGAGCATGGCTGCTGTTGCTTTATGTATGGGTATTGCCATGAGAGTATAAACAAGTGAGCTGCTAACCAACAACGCCGTTCTTAACTTTAGGCCGTGGCGTTCTTAGCATTTCAAGCTGGGCGTGCTTGGGCTCCACGTTCTTCAGCACGCAACTCTACTGTATGCCCCGCTTATTCTTGCACGTTATCGGTACAGTGTGTACCTTTCTCTGATGGTTTTCTTTTCAAGGCTTCTTTGCTGTTTCTGCAAACCCTTAAAAGTCCTTGTGTGTTTAAAGGGGAAGTTAAGGCAAAAATCAAAATTTCACCGGTTGTAGTCTTCGGGGTGCTGAGTGGAATGGTCTTGGTCCGAGGAAGCTGAGACGTTGCCTTCCTCCTTTATTCCCAATCGAACTCGCGCACTTCCACCGAAGTTGGGCGACTGCGCCCTACTAGATGGGGGTTTGTATGCAAAATGTCACTAAAGGCGCCATTGCGTTCTTATAAAAGCACGGATGACCGCGATTGGCCCATATGTTGTAGTCTTTTGGACGCTGAGTCGACTGCTCTTGGTCCGAAAAGGCTGCGATATAGCGTTCGGCCCTTATTCCCAATCGAACATGGTTGAACAAGCGGTCACATGCTCGTGCTTACACCGGTCACCTGGTCACTGCGCCAGCTGGCGACAACTAACGTTACTGTTACTTTCACACCAAGGTTTAACTCAAAGGTTCAACTCGATCGTGACAGAAACTCGCCCAGACATGCTGTAAGTTGTAGCCTACAGGTACGGTGACCGGTGTACGCACGAGCACGTGACCGCTTGTCCACCATGTTCGATTGGGAATAAGGGCCGAACGCTACATCGCAGCCTTTTTCGGACCAAAGCCAGTCGACTCAGCATCCAAAAGACTACAACATATGGGCCAATCGCGGTCATCCGTGCTTTTATAAGAACGCAATGGCGCTTTTAGTGACATTTTGCATACAACCCCCCCCCCCCCATCTAGTAGGGCGCAGTCGCCCAGTTTCGGTGGAAGTGCGCGAGTTCGATTGGGAGTACAGAAGGGAGCGTCTCAGCTTCCTCAGACCATGACCATTCGACTCAGCACCCCGAAGACTACAACTGGTGAAATTTTGATTTTAGGCTTAAAGAGGAAGTTAAGGCAAAAATTAAAATTTCACCAGTTGTAGTCTTCGGGGTGCTGAGTCGAATGGTCTTGGTCCGAGAAAGCTGAGACGCTCCCTTCCTACTTGAATCCCAATCGAACTCGCGCACTTCCACCGAAACTGGGTGACTGCGCCCTACTAGATGGGGATTTGTATGCAAAATGTCACTAAAAGCGCCATTTCGTTCTTATAAAAGCACGGATGACCGCGATTGGCCCATATGTTGTACTCTTTTGGACGCTGAGTCGACTGGTTTTGGTCCGAAAAGGCTGCGATGCAGCGTTCCTCCTTTATTCCCAATCGAACATGGTTGAACAAGCGGTCACGTGCTCCTGGGTGCCCAAATCACCTGGTGACCACGCCAGCAGGCGACAACTTTCACACCAAGGTTCAACTCGAGTGACAGGACTGCACCCAAAAAAGGTCAAACAAGCTAGTAAGTTGTACCCTGCAGGCACGGTGACCAGGTGACTGGCGTACGCAGGAGCACGTGACCGCTTGTTCAACCATGTTCGATTGGGAATAAAAGAGGAACGCTGCATCGCAGCCTTTTCGGACCAAAACCAGTCGACTCAGCGTCCAAAAGACTACAACATATGGGCCAATCGCGGTCATCCGTGCTTTTATAAGAACGAAATGGCGCTTTTAGTGACATTTTGCATACAAATCCCCATCTAGTAGGGCGCAGTCACCCAGTTTCGGTGGAAGTGCGCGAGTTCGATTGGGATTCAAGTAGGAAGGGAGCGTCTCAGCTTCCTCGGACCACGACCATTCGACTCAGCAGCCCGAAGACTACAACTGGTGAAATTTTAATTTTTGCCTTAACTTCCCCTTTAACATTGAATAGCCATCGATTACCAGCATGGTTTGGTGACTTTAGAACTGTTTTGAGACTTTGAACGAAGCGATATCTCAAATAATTAATTTGATGGAATTGTTACCTGTCAAATGCGTGGGCGAGCAGGCCAGCTGACTAGTTATGCATGAGCATGCATTGATTTTTCATGGTTCACGTGCAGAAAACTAGTTAGTTGCCGCGATCCAAGTGCAGCTAACAGCGGGGAGCACCGGCCGTACTAGAGGCTACGCCAGGTGATAGCACCGAGCTTCGAGTTTGTGCACCGTGTGAACAACTCGGATCCAAACGGAAAACCTTATTTGATCAACGACGATGGCACTCGCAAAGAGATCGTGAAGAAAAAGCATACCCCTCAAAATGGCCGAAATATCACACTATGGGTCTACAAACGAGTCACGCCACAGCTACGACCAAAACCCCATCAAGCCAACATTGCCTCACCTTAGAAGACTTCCTGGAGCAGTACTGCTTAGCCACGCCAGGATCCCCGAGAGAAGACCAGGGCCATCACCCCCTGACGCCACAAATGATCGTCTCCAAAACAGCCAGCTACATGTACGTCCTCGGCAAGAACTGTTAACTATACACCATGATACACCGGCAGATAGTAGAACACCTCTTCAAGCGCTGAGGACATGTCCCCCATCTTCCTTTTGCGCAGGTCACTTTGCCCGTCTTTGGCCGTATTTCAGCACGGTCGAGTGGAAAAATTCAAAAAAGTTTATTTCAAGAAAACCCCAAAAGGAATATGGGGGGGGGGGGGGGGGCATGTCCTCAGCGCTAGAACTGTAGAAGAGGTGTTCTACTCCTAGTATTTGCCGGTGTATAGTTCTTGCCAATTGAGGATGTAGCTGGCTGTTTTGGCAGCGGTTGTAAATTGGCTATTTCCAAGACGATCACTGTTGTGGCGTCAGGGGGTGATGGCCCTGGTCTTCTGGGATCCTGGCGTGGCTAAGCAGTACTGCTCCAGGAACTCTTCTAAGGTGAGGAAATCATTGGTTGGCTTGATGGAGTTTTGTTCGTAGCTTGTTCGTATACGCTGTGGCGTGACTCGTTTGTAGACCCATAAAAATAGTGATATTTCGGCCATTTTTGAGGGGTATGCAAGTTTCAAGGTTCCCTTCAGAAACTTTTTCAAGGGCTTTAGCTTTGCACAATCGATCTACACCCCAAAGGGAACATACCTGCAAAATTTGAGCGAAATCGGAGAGATCCACTTGCACACATACTTTGGTATTCTCAGACATGCTCTCTTAAAGTACTTGCCCGATCGTGGCACGGCCATATCCAATCGAGTGAATAATACTAGTACTAGCAAGAGTACATAATAATGGGGGTTATGTACTCTTGCTAGTACCAAGAGTACAGGGGTATGTACTCTTGCTAGTACAAGTAGTACAAAGTCATGAGTCATGTACGAGCGCATAGGCTTGCATCGCAGCATAGAATTACATGACTGTGCTAGTCTGTTAGTAATAGTAGTGAGCATGCAAGCGTTGACACGGACAGCGAGATCGAGAGGCGATCGAAACTTCTTGCTCCTTTCATTCACACAAGTCATGATCACAGGGCTAGGGGTATTCCCGCTTGCAACCCCGTCCCGGAAGCGAAAGTTTTGTTTGCACTTGACTTCGCTGGTAGACTACTGGCAGTACTGCCACTGGTGTTTATGCCATTATGGTAGTACTAGTGCCAGTCGTGGTAAGCTGTGAGGCAGTGTGAGGCAGGGGCTGTAGGCCATAGCATAGCCTAGGCCAGGAAGACCGTATCGCGTATGGGCTATCGACTATCGACATGGCATGTGATCTCTTGCTGTACTGTCTGTAGATCAGCACCACACTACAGACAGGAAAGACATGACAAGTCATGTATGCTTTTTGCAGAGTGTTCGTTTTGACACATGAACGAGCTAAAGCCAGGTCGATGCTTGTCTTTTTTTTTACTTTTTTTTTACTACAAAGCACTGGCCAGCAACATAAAAGGGGAGGTAGACAAAAGTGGACAAGCGAACTTTGACAACACAGAGGAGCGTGGCATGCGTGCCGATGAGGTAGGTCAACCTCCCCCGACCTAGTGGTCTCGGGTTCAACAGTTGGTCTACGCATCAGGAAGGGGAAATGGACAGAGAAAGGGAGAATGAGCATGAGGAGCTTCCCAGGAGAGGAAGATTGAGAGAGAGAGAGAGAGAGAGAGAGAGAGAGAGACAGACAGAAAATGATAATAATAGAGACAACCGGTTATTCTCATTGCTGGTGGACTTCAGTGGCCCATAGCCAATTGGTCTGGCGGAGGTGATGGTAGGCCTTGGTCTTGAATGTCGGCAATTTCTTGAGAGTTGGGCGTTCGGCGAGGATTGGGGCAGGCAGTGTGTTCCAGCTCTCCAGGACAAAGTATGGGAAGGAGCGGCGGATGAACTCTGGACTGGAGGCTGGCAGAGGAGTTGCGAGTTGGAAAGAGTGGCCACCGAGGGACTGGCGTTGCCGGCGCGTCCGGGGTGCAGCGTTAACTCTTGCTGGGGGAGGTACCATGTTGGTAAGCAGAGCTGGACCTGGTATGCATTGCAGCTTATACAGGTAGCACAGCCCGTAAACATGCCTTCGGATTGCCAGGCTGGGGAGCAATGAGGGGCCAATAACCTTCATGGCTCGACGCTGGACCAGGTCCAGCTGATGGAGGTGACAATGTGCCGCACTTGCCCAGACGAGAGGGGCGTACTCCATTATAGGCCGTACAAATCCTTTGTACACAGTTAGGCGCCCTGCACTGTCCAGGATCCGAGATGCCTTTCGGAGCAGGCCGAGTCGCTGGTTGGCTCTAACGGCAAGGGAACGGATGTGGGCCCGGAAGGAGAGAGTACTGTCAAATAACACTCCTAGCAGCTTGAGCTGAGGGCTCTCAGGCACCTGCATGCCATCAAATGTGAGCTGTGGG